AGTGATGCGCCCCCTGACCCAGCCGACAGCAGAGTTCTCTGTCTTGCAAACCTGGTGCTGGCTGGCTTCCAGAGGGCCTGGTAGGGCTTATTGCTATTCACACCAGCCCTTCTCCACCCTCGATTCAGCCCCTCCACTGCAGCCTCATAACTGAGCCTCAAAATACAGCCTGCTGCAACCCCTGCAGGGGTCTCAATGTTCCTAGACCTGCTTGAAGCTCTCTGGAAAGCATGGGGAGGGGGCACAGGCCCAAGGTAGCTGTCCCCAGACCTGGCTGCCTTGGACTGAGCCTTTTCATCTCTAGTATGTCCTCTCAGCTGCCCCCACATACAACAGGGTAAAATTCTTCCCTTTGTCTGTCTAGGCAGCCTGTGTGTTCACCTTTTGGAATAGAGGCCAGCAGGCAGGGAAGGGTCTGGGAAGCCCACCTCCCACCCTGTGTGTGGGGTGGGTGGGGTTATTTCATTTAGAGTCAGAAGATCTGAGCTTTGGTTTACATGAAGCCTTAGACAAGGCTGTTCTACCTTTTGAGGTCCCCATCAGTAAAACGAGACATTGATTAATCAGGGCCAGATCCTTCCAACACTCTTGGTAGACATGCTGCCCCTGGTTGATGAATCGTGGGAATGCTCTGTGGTCTCGGGCAGATCATGCACTTTGCTGGGCCTCAGTTTTCTTATCTCTTGAATGAGAGTAACCCTCACAAGGGTAGGTAGGGCTGTGGTGGAGAAGGGGAGAGGGGTGGCTAAGTTCAAAGGCTTTGCTCACCAATGCAGCCTGAGTGTCTGCTAGGTGACACGCCAAGCTGCCGGGACTCTGCTAATTCTGTCCTCTCTCTGTTTCCCCTGACCAGGAGAGAGAAGATAGCCAGTGACTCAAGGGAACCAGTTTCCTGGGGCTCAGAGCAGCTTGTCAGGGCAGGTTAATTGAGGTGTGGGGCCACCTGCTGGTCATCTCAGTGAGCATTTAGTAGATGCCTACTGTGTGCCAGAACTTGAGGGAGCTGTGGTCCTGCCTGGGTGGAGGGGGAGACTACAACATCACAATGAATGGCTGCCATTTACTGAGTGCCAGCATGGTGCTGGGGGGCTTTACCTGGATCCTCTCATTTAGACCTCACATTCCCATCTTACACATGGAGAAACGGAGCCTCAAGCTCTTAGCCATAGCCCTCTCTGCTGGAGGAGGTCAGAGGATAGAATGCTACTTTTGGCTTGCAGCAATCATAGAAGGCTTCCCAGAGGTGGTGACCTATAAATTTGAAGGGCAAACCAGATTTGGAAAGACAAAGATTTGGGAAAAAAGCATTGTAGCTGCAGTCAGGGCCCCTGTGTTATTGAGCTGTCCACTTCCCTTGGGGCCACTCTCTCTCTCTCTTTTTTAAAGATTTTATTGGGGAATTGTTGGGGGGGAACAGTGTTGGGGAACCAGACAAGTTGCTGTCCTTCTGTTCTTCAGTCTAGTTGTGGAGGACGTCGCTTCACTGACCCATGTTGGTATTGTGATCATTGTGCTCTTCCCGGCTGACGCAAATCGGTCGCCGGCCATTGGACGGCCACTCACGGTGGCACGGCAGCTCACGCCGGCTGCCAGCCGCTCACGCTGGCTGCCGGCTACTCACGGTAGCTTATGGCAGCCCACTGCAGCCCCACTGTAGCCTACGCTGTCACCAGTGACTCACGGCCGCCCAGCTTCAGGTCGAGCTATTGTTCACCATCTTAGCTGTAGAGGGCAGCGTCACTGGCCTATGTAGGATCTGAACCGGTGGCCCTGCTGCTCAGAGCTCATGCTCCCAAGCCAACTCTTAACCAACGAGCCACTCAGCCGGCCCGGGACTACTCCCTTTCTGAAGGTCCCTGGCAGGCCGGTGCCTAGAGGTCTGTGTAGCAGGGCTGGCCAGGGCTGCTGAGCAAGACAGGTGAGGCAGAGGAGGCTCTGCCCAATGGCAGCCAGGCGGATCGAGAGAACCCCTCTTCACAGGGTCATGAAGGGATCCAGGGACTGTGGGGTGCTGGGCTGGTCACTGCACAAGCCAGATGAGGGGATGGGCTGGCCCAGGGTACCTACTGGGGGCAGGCCTCCCTGGGTTATTGGCTAGGGCAAACTAAGCAGTTGGGACTCCTTCTTTAATGACAGAGCCCATCTCCAAAGTGGGGTGACAGGGACAAGAAGATCAGGAGAGATCTCTGGGTAGGGCACACTCAGCTGAGGATGAACAACAAGAAGTTGGCTGTAAGAAGAACAGGAGGAGGGGCATCCCAGGCAGAGGGAATAGCAAATGCAAAGGCCCCAGGGCTGTAAAGCCTTATGCCCTGCCTCTGCAAGTGCCAACATCTAGGGTGGTCTGCCATTTACCCAGAGGACTTTTTAAGTCAAAAGCTTGGGGTCCATGAAGCCAGGAGAAAACAGTGTTGGGAAGCCAACAGCCATCTTGGAGAAAGGAGAGAGCAGGTGGAGGGAGCAGGGGATGGAGTCCTCTTCTCCAAAGGCCACACATGCGCTTCTGAAATTGAGTCATCCCTCAGGGCATGGGTGTTGGGGAGTCAGTCTCCCACCCCTTGCTAGAACCATTTTTCAGGAATGAGAAAGCTTCAGATTTGGTGAGAGCCTCCTAAGCACAG